CAAGTCTCACAGCTTTGATCAATTTTTGTTTTGTTTTCAGCACAAAAGCGAGGAAGTATGTTTTAACTTGTCTGTTTCAAAAAACCAGACTGGTTGAGAGATAAGGTAAAAGAAATAAAAGATGGGAGATTACGTTTAATTTTTTTCTCTCTCTCTCTACCTCTCTTATATACATATATATATGCGTATTTACACACACACACATACACATGTAAACGGTGTACGTATGTATACAAAATATATTCAACACTATTCACGCAAACAAGCACATACACATATTTATGTACATATATATGTGTGGGTGTGTATATGTATATATATATATATATATATTATATATATATATATATATATATATATATATATATATATATATATATATATATATATATATATATATATATATATATATATATATATATATATATATAATATATATATATATATATATATATATATATATATATTTATATACATATGTATATATGCACACATACACACAGACAGACACACACACACACACACACACACACACACACACACACACACACACACACACACACACATATATATATATATATATATATATATATATATATATATATATATATATATATATATAATCAAATGTGTATGCATATATACATATACATATATAAATGCACATACATATATATACATATATTTATATAAATGTACACTCACACATATATATGTGTGTGTTTAAAATACACCCACTATTACTATCATCATTATTAATATATACAAATATAAATATATATCGATATATATTCATTATTATATATACGTATAAATAAGTATATATACATATGTACACATAAATTTTTATATATGCATACACATGTGTAAACATAAATGCATGTTTGTTTATGCATATGTATTTATGCAACAGACACAAGCACAAAACACATATGCAAACATAAACAAGCTTACAGACACACACACACATATATTTTATACATACATACATATATATGTATGTGTGTGTGTGTTTCTGTGTGTTGTGTGCGTGCTTGTGTGTTTGTGTGCCTGTGTGGGTGCGTGTGAGTATTAATATATAATCATACATATACAAAAATATAACTATAGATATAAAAAATAGACAATAATTATGATAATCTATTAATGAAAATAATAATGATAATGATATCAATGATAATAACAATTATTGTAATATAATAGCAACAAATAGTTGTGATAATGTTAGTAACAAAAGTATAAAAATTATATTGTTATCTCAGAATTATTATTATTATGAATCTCATAATAATTATCATTACCATAGCTGCCATTATCATCATTATTACTTTTACTATCATCATAGTTATTATTATCATATTTATGGTTATCATCATTATGATTATTATCAGAATGTTTTTCATAAGCATTATTATCATTGTTATCTTTATTATCATTACTATTTTCATTAGCATTGTTATCATCATTTCAGTCACTATTAATATTATCTGTAGACTTATTGTTAAAATTTTTATTACTGTTATCCTTATCATAATCATCTCTATATTTAACCATTGGTATTATCATTACCTCCGCCAAGGTTATATTTTTGGTAGCGTTGGTTAGTTTGTTTGTTAGTTAGGAGGATAACTCAAAAAGTTATGAACAGATTTTTTCGGCTTGCTCACTCTGAATGCGTCTAGTTATTATTGTTATCATAATTATTACTATTGTTATAATGTCATCAATATTATACTTAATGTTATCATTATTGTTATTATTACTGTCAGTACCATTGTTTTTTTTTATTATTATCATTATTGTTATTATTATTATTATCATTGTTGCTATTATTACTATTAACATTATCATTATTATTAGTAGTAGTAGTGTTATCACTATCCTTATTATTATCGTTTATACGATTGTTCTTATCATCATTTTCATTATTACTACTGTTACTTATCACTATTGTTATAAACATTATTGTTGCTGTTGCGTCACCATCATCCCAATAAAGATATTGATGGTAATGATAATGACACAACTACTATTAGAAATAGGAATGATAATAATTATTTTTACCCTAATCATCCGTATCATTATATTTAGTAGTAGTAACAGGACTATTTCCCCATCATCATTATCATAATAATGATAATTATCATCATTATCTATATAATTGTTATACATCGCATCATCGCAATCATTATTTTTATATCTATTTTTGCTATTGGTTTAATCAATCAATGTTGTTATTGTTATTTTTGAGTTGTGTTTGCGGACGTCACCTGTGTACTTGAGAAAGGTGATTCTAATGTAATTCTATAAGTGTAAATATATTTATTGTCCCAGTGACCTTATTGTTTTGGCGGAGCTATGCGCTTTCTGAGTGTTTCTGGTTATTAAAGTTATTGTTTTTTTATCGTCATTATTGTTATTATTAGCATTATCATCATATCATGATTACTATTATCATTATTATTGCTATCATTATCATTATTTTTCATCATTTCTATTA